TATATATATATATACACACACACATACACATACATATAAATATATATATAATTACTGTTTATATTGTTGCTGATGTATATAACTGGCTCCCCTTTTTTCCATGTTAGTGGGGAGTTTGTATTGTTAGGACTGTTGCTTTGTTTATGGAGGATCTGCGTCACCTTACAACACGCGGGTGTCCCTTGGCTTCCACAGCGAAAGGCCTTGGGGACACAGTTAGCAACACACGAGGATCATTCTCTGGCAGTCCAAGGGCACGCGATGTGCACTGATCTAGACCACTCTGGGGTGAAGGAGGAGCTTGGCCAACTTTTTGGGCAACGAAGGGTGCCTAGCGTTTAACCCGGTCACTGCCTGAGAACATGCTATATGCGCAACATGTTAAAGCATACCCAGCATCAGATATATTCTTAAGTGCTGCATGCCGAGTAATGTGTCAGTGTGACACTTCCAGATATTTATTAACTCTCACAGAGATCACAGTACTCTCCCTGACAATGCCTTCACCTTTTTTTTTTTTCTAGAAGTATGGCGCCATCTTTGTTCAGGCATCATCCAGGGTCACCATCTACTTCCTAGACTGTGATGCCGGCTCATAGATGACACATTCATGTAAATCCTGGTGCCTGTGCAGGCTGAGTTTACAAATGTCTGATACAGATCAGTTGCTGCTGCAGCTTCTTGCCTTGTAACTTGCTACAAAGTTACAATGTTGCAATATGGTCACTGGGGGAAAGGAGACTGAGGAAATGCTTCCTCCTGCCTGCTGCATCAGACTGATCACTGGGGAAGGTAGACTGAGGACTCTCTTTCTCCTGCCTGCAGCAGACTGATCACTGGGAGAGGGGAGACTGAGGAAATGCTTCCTCCTGCATGCAGCAGACTGATCACTGAGAAAATGCTTCCTCCTGCCTGCAGCAGACCGATTACTGGGGGAGGGGAGATTGAGGAAATGCTTCCTCCTGCCTGCAGCAGACTGCCTAGGCTGAGATGATGTCATCAAAGTCACTGACTGGAGCTATAGGCAGGCTTTTTAATAATGAAGGTGGGGCTTTATTAACATATGATGCTGCTGTCGTAGACTGTGACAAGTCAGGAATTTACTCACGCAGACTTAATGGTACCAACCCTTATGCACACACGTATCATCATCATTCTTCTTGATACTTGAAGGAAAGCTTTTAATCTCTATCAGGAGCAGCTGCACATTGAGGAAAGAGGATTCTGCTATTGGTATATGAAGGGATTCTTTACAGTACGAGCAGTAAGGCTGTGAAATGCTTTACCATATGAAGCAGCAATGGCGAAATCACTGGTGGAATTTTTTGGGTGCTTTTCTTACAACCAAAAGTATCCACAGCTACGTGAACTGTTCAGATCCAGGGAATAGATGGGACGGCCTTTGTGGAAGGATTTCACAGAAACACCTACAAGGAGTCATAGTGAATAAAATTCTCACTTTTGGATGGAATGGCCTATTAAATATCGGAAGTTGTTGATTTTTGCCCGTTGTGTGCGTCACCGCTGCTTCCTGTGCACATTTTCTACTTTAATTCCCTCAAACGCACGCAGACAATCTCAGCTGTACTGTGGGTTATGTAGAATGCATTTCTCTGCATCTATATTTATCCGCTTCATCAATAATGCATGGGGGATCTTCTGAGGTCGGGGGAATCACACAAACATGTCAACTAAATTATTCCCATTGTACAAAAAAGAAAAACATTTCTCTTAGAAGTGCCGGACCCCCGAGGGCGCTTTTCTTTTCCAATTCATCACAACTCGGATGTGACAATACTCTCTAGTAACAGGGAAGCTGAGCCCCGGCCTTCCCTTCAGTCTCCTGGACTGAAATTGCTCAATATGATCTCACTGCACACAGCGAGCTTCTCACAATGTGCATCAGAAGCTGCAGCAAGTCAGATTGAGCCCAACTCATTCCCATTTTGGAATTTACACCCAATTTTCAGCCTGCATTACCCAATTACTGTTTTATAAAAAAAAAATATATCTATCTATCTATATAGATAGATAGATAGATAGATATATCTCTATCTATCTATCTATCTATCTATCTATCTATCTATCTATCTATCTATCTATCTATCTATCTATCTATCTATCTATCTATCTATCTATCTATCTATCTATCTATCTATCTATCTATCTATCTATCTATCTATCTATCTATCTATCTATCTATCTATCTATCTATCTATCTATATAGATAGATAGATATATTTTTTTTTTTGGTTTAAGAATGAATAGATTGATAAAAGACAACAACAACAAAATAGGTGAGATTATTTAGCACCGTTGTTACCCCTACTATTATTTTAGCCACTTTTATTTTGCTTATTATCTTTGTATTATAGATATTGGAGACAAACTCAAACATTCCGGAAAGGTCCTCTGAGTTTATTTGGTGTTTTATAACGGTCACATAAAACACTAAATCATTCGACGTCCAGCAAACATCTGATCGGCAGCAAAAAGTACTTCCTTTCCTGCACTTCCTACCCCGCAGCATCTATGACGGTCCATGAATGAAATGCTTGTTCCTAAACTTCTCTGAAAATCGCCAACCCAAGCTGGCACCGGCATGCCAACGCAGGAGTAGTGTGCCAGAAGGGCAGATGTGAAAAACAAACCAAATGCACCTTCCAGACCTACTGGGCACTGCCAACAAATGTGTTCCAGCAAAACACTTTGCTTTAGAATTAAAGTGACACTAAGCTCAGGAGTTGGAACTTAAAAATACATTCAAGGACCTTAACTATTAACACCAATGTATCTTATTTGTGTATCACTCGGCTGTAGATCCTCAGTGCTGACACTGTCCTTCCTTCTGTTTGGTGGCTACTTTTGTTCCCCATGATCCCTGTGTGTGTGGTAAAGTAGTCGCCGCTCATAAACTCGCTTCTGTGATGGACTACAATCTCAATACAAATTATTAAACTAAACATGAGATTGTAGTCCATCACGGGAGAGAGCTTAGGGGCGGTGACTACTTTACAACACACACAGGGACCGTGGGGAACAGAAATAAGCACCCTCCAGAATGAAGGACAGTGTCAGCACCAATTCAGAGATGATTTGAGGATCTACAGCCGAGTGATACACAAATAAGATACATGTTTGTTAATAGTTAAAGTACCTGCATGTATTTTGAACTTAAGATTTAACTTCTGAGTTTAGTGTCCCCAAGTCTCCTTTGCTAGAATACTTACATTCCAATCCAAAGCTGCTCAGCGTAGTACCCCTTCTCTGTCACAAGATGTCCTATGGTGAGTGCAGGGCATCACAGACCCACCCCCTGAGGGAATGTTAGCAGGGTACCCTCCACTCACAGTATACTGATGCAGAAAGCAGCTCTGACATCATCAGGTCAGCGCTGCTCTCTGCATCATTGAAGACTGCCCACTGCCAGTTGCACCCCCTGAAAAGATATGGATAAGGTAAGTGATAAGAAAAAAAAAAAGCATGAAATACTGCTTGAGGGGAAAAGGAAGCCCGAAGGTGGGCTTTTAAGTGAACCTGTCACCCTTTTAAACTTTTAATGATAAAAAAAAAGCACTACAAGCTACATGCCATTTCTTTGATCTGTGCACCCCTTAGGACCAGGGGTGGGCAAACGCCAGCTGTTGTGGAACTAAGGATCCCATGAGGCATTGCTAGATTCTCACAGCCACAGGCATGACTCCTAGAGACAGATGCATCATGGGATTTGTTGTGTTACTAAGGGCTTGACTTTTCAGACTTCTGAGCTACACGCCAGGAACTAAATCTCAGCCACCTTGCCTCCCATTATCCAGTCACAGCACCTTTTCTGACACCAGAGTAATTCCCACTGGATGGAGGGCAAGGGCTTTGCTCCAGAGACACACTTTTACCCCCTAAAAATGAGAAGTCAGATATTCATAACAGAGCATGTCTAGGATCAGCCGGGCACAGAAATAAATTTTGTTAATAAGGGCACAGTGGGCACCTTGCAGTGACTCAAAGGTGGGTAAACTCCAGCCCTCCAGCTGTGGTGAAACTACAAATCCTATCATGCATCAGTCTCTGGGAGTCGTGGCTGTGTGAATCTTGCAATGCCTCATGGGATTTGTAGTGTTCCAAAACAGCAGGAGTGCTGGAGTTTGCTCACCCTGTAGTGATTCTTACTTTAAAAGGTTAAAAAGGCTGACAGGTTCACTTTCACCACCTCCCGTGATTAAACTGCATGCTCACGCTTTCACGAATGAATAGTTCAAATTGTTCTGTTAAAACATTACTCATTATTACACCTCTGTTCCGACCTGTTTCACAGGCCTGTGAAACAGAGAACAGCTAAATACATTGTATTGGAAAATATATACAATGTATGTATAAACATTATATATATATATATACACATTTATTTAAAAATCACATCTAAAATAGAGTCAGAAAGACGGAAGAGCAAAAGACAGAGATTGATCAGAGAATAAATAGATAAATGTATCTCTTCCTAATCTGAAGACGTGATGGTCTCTTTATCACCCACCTGAGGTGTGAATTCACAATTTATAAATTGAGTTGCTTTTTTCTGACACTTTGGCCAATTAGTTGTCTGTAAATAGAGTCAGTAAGAGGAATAACATGGCGGAGGTTATGCCGGTGACAGCACATCAATATACAGGAGGTATATACAATGTATCTCTGCCACAAAGACAATAATAGGAAGCTCAGTTCCAGCACTTATAATAAAATTAAGGAATACATTGCAATCACTCCAAATCCATCTTTTCTCTCCATTAAGAATGATGGACGGCTCATGCATGGAAATTGCCCAGAGCAATTTTGTAAATAAGAAAAACAGTCAAGAAAGAAACATTGGTAAAATGTGATACTGAGGCCTCTATGATGTCAGCGCTCTCACCTCAATTTCCACAGGACGGTTAAAGTTTAGCGTTAGCAATTCCTTGATGGATTCGGTGATGTTCTGTATGTTGGTTCCTCTTGACAGAACTAAAAAGAAAAATGAGATCATTAATAAAACATTTCATTTTTGTGTGTTCTAGCCGGGCCGAACTGTTGGCCATTCTGAGAATATACTAGCAAGAGGACATTCTGGCTCATGAAATACGAAGGCTTGCACGCTTTCTTTTGATGTGACTTAGCAATGCCGTTTTTGAGAACGGACATGGCATAACGGGATAAGGGAGTAGCAGGAATGGGCATGACCTTCCATTGGGGTGCCGGAACATGACTAAAACATCACCCAATTTTTTATTTGTACCGAGTTTATCGCCAAAGGATGAGCAGCTATGTCATGGCGCTGACATGACAGAGGTGTTGTATGCTCTTTTTGCAATGCGTGTCGTTTTTGAACACTGTTCAATAGGTAATGGAAGTCCACAACACTGGTTAATAAATGTGAAAGAAGCGTAAGCACCTTTATTATTGAGTCACAAGCGCCATAAAGCCAACATTTCGGGCCCACGCAGGGGCCTCCCAAGGAAGGGACCCTGCGTGGCCCCGAAATGTTGGCTCTATGAGGCTTGCGACTCAATAATAAAGCTTATGTTTCTTGCACATTTATTAACGAGTGCTGGTGGCTTCCATTACCTATTGAACTGTGGTACGGCACCATCCATGCTGTCACTACGAAAACCATCAGCTGAATCGCATGGTCTGTGCGCTGTATGGAGTGCAGGTGATTCTCTAACGCTATTTGAAACCTGTTCTGTTAACACAACAGGAAATAGAAGTAAGCCTTTCCAATGTCAATAACCCTCTTCTAAGACAGTTCTCAGATTTGAAGGTGCCTACAGCAGCCTATTTAAATGTATGTGTAGAACGGCCATGTTCAACAAGTCATGCAATCTTTACTGGCCTGCTTTTGCCCCACATTTGAAGAAAACGAAGACTATTTCTGGGATTCATAGGGTCATTCCACCCAGCTGGCTATTTATATCCCCCGTAAGGACCACAGTGGTAAGTTCTTCCCGCTGGACTTACCAGCTCAGTGCACACCTGCCAGTCCCACCGTTGCTGCTGCAGTAAGACTCTTGGGGTCCGTCGTTCACACTGCTCATGTTTCTATGTATTTTGCTGCATTTAACAATGCAAGCTAAACACAAGGACAATCAAACACATTATTTCTAACTGGCCTCATTCTTCCCAAAATGCTTCACCGCAACACTTTATAAGTAACTCTATAGGACTGGGCTGGATGGAAATGCACTGCAGAAGTGTTTTACATGCAGTTTTAAAGCACAATGATTCTAAAATCACAAGTAGAATTGAAAACAAATAGCATTTTAAACATATAAACTCATGGCATATTCTGCAGTATTATTAAACATTTAGGCCTTCTCTATTGTATAGAAAGAACATGAGAAAAAGCCCTTTTCCTCACTTCCTTGCTCTGGCTACAACATGGGGGCAGAGCTGGGCAGCAGCGCGCAGTCACCACCTACCTGCAGTAACCAGGTACGGTTCAGGGTTGGAGACATCACACACCCGGGTAGGTCTTGTGGTAGTTGGAGAAGATGTGGCTGTGAGTCCAGAGGGAGATGTGATCGGCACAGATGTTGTACTTGTTGTCGTTTCAGGTTTGGTGGTGGTGGTGGTTGTTGTGGTTTCAGGTTTGGCGGTGGTTGTTGTAGATGCCCGGGTGGTGGAAGTGGTTGTATCATGCTGAGTATGAGTGACAGCTGCTGAGGTTGAAGTAGTTGGAGTAAAAGTTGTGGCTGGCACAGTGTTCAGCTCAGTGGGAGATAAAGAAAGACTACTGGTTGGAACTTGTGGAGCAACTGGAGTGGACATCAGACTTACGCTCGTCTGTGTACTCAGACTCAGAATGGAGCTTGTTGTAGACAGGAGGTTTATAGATGACGGAGGGCTTGGTACATTTGTAATAGTTTCTCCACTTACAGTAGACAGCAAGCTTATTGTGGGTAGTGAACTTATGTCTGGTGGCAGGCTCAGTTCTTGTGAAAAACTGAGTGATGGTGATGCTAAAAGGTTGCTTGAAACTACTGAGGTATAGGTCTCCAAGGTGTCCATTATGAATGTAGAAAAGGAAGGAGGAAGTTCTGTTGTCAGAGGAACTGAGAAAAATGAAGAGGCCTGAAGAGTCTCTTCGATCAAAGCACTGCTGGTGTGATCAGAGTCATAGGAGGAGGTGGAAAAGGCCAACGTGGTGGAATCCAATGCAGACAATGAAGGCAGCAGAGAAGAGGTAGCACCAGAGAAAGTTGAGGAATAGAAAATGCCCGATTCAAACACAATGCTTGGGGTCACTTCCCACATCCCAGAGGACTCTAACAACACATTTGAACTTCTCTCTGTCCAGTCAGCACTAGACAATAGGGTGAGGGAGACAACAGATGTGGGGTTAACAGTTGGCCAAAGCGTGGCTTCCACATTGATGGTATCTGTGAATGGTGAAACTGATGTCTCAATAGCAAAGCTACTGAATGAGGTCTCCAAAATTGTAACCAAAGAGGATGGGTCCTGAGTTACAGCAGCTGAAACGTCACTGGAAACCAAGGAGAACGAGGAGGAAATGTCTTCTGGAACTGAAGAAAACAGGTTACTTGTTTCAAAAGTTGGAACTATGGAGATAAAATTGGTAGAGTCAGAAATATTCTCTGACTCAACTAACGGTGAAACAGTCTGGCTAAAATACATGACAGATTCAGTCGGCACAAAGGCAGGGGCCTCTACTGTGTTCATAGGTATAAAAAGAGAACTGTCAAGGAATGGTGTAGATTCTGGTATTGCTACAATAGTAAGGGGTGACTCAAAGTCTACAGTTGACACAGAAGAGTCATACAGTCCAGTAAGTGAAGGCATTAAAATCGTAGATTCTACCTCAGAAAACATGAGTGTCTCCACATCTAAGGTTTCTGATGGAGACAAATTAACTGGGACTTCAGTAAAAACAGAGTCAACAAGGCTTGAAAAATACATGGATGATTCCAAAGCATCCATATACAATGAAGAAACTGGAACCAACATAATCGAACTGAAGAGAGACTCAACAACTTGAGCAGTAGACTCAACTACAAATGGAAAGCTGGACACCACATTAGTCTGAATATTTTCTTCTACAGATCCTGAGGGGTTCATGGTAATAGTTTCTAGATAAGCCTCTGACCACCACTGGGTGTATGTAAAAGTGGAGGACATGGTAGAAGAAGGCAGGAATGTCTGTTCATATTGAGATGCAAAAGTGGGCATCAGACTTGTGGCCAAAATGTCAGCACTTTTGCTGTTTTCCAAAAGAAGACTCACCGAGACATCTTCAACTGCACTATGGGCCCATTCATATGTTGAGAAGGTATCATGTGAAGAAGTCATTAGCACACCCATGCTAGGGCTGGTGGTTGAATCTTGTGCAAACTCTAGATTTGAAAAGATGCTATGCAAAATATTTTTGGTTGAAACGATGTTAACTTCATCTAAAGCGGTCAAGCTTGGCAGGTTTACACTACTTTCCGAGAGATCCGGGGTATTTAAAGACATCAAAGGTGTGCTAGGAACCACAGGTGTTTTTTCTAATTCAGAGTCAGAATAAGACACAGTTTTGAGTGCTATGGATGATGAGCTCTCCAAGACAAAACTTTCCCCTTTGAAACCAGATGTGGCAATGTCTACAGGCATATTTGGCAATGGAAGAGTTTCGATACTCCAAGAGGTTTGTGAGATGCTATTAAAAAACTCCTCTTGAGGGTTGATCACATACTGATCAGAAACCATGGGGGTCGGAAAACTCAGACTAGTTTCTAGCAGCACAAAAGATGGTGTCGGTTGATTGAGTATAGGTTCCAGGATTCCAGAGCTGAAATGATGGACATCCACTGCTTCAGATGGTGTCAGTTGATTGCTTATAGATTCCAGGATTCCAGAGCTGAAATGATGGACATCCACTGCTTCAGATGGTGTCAGTTGATTGCTTATAGATTCCAGGATTCCAGAGCTGAAATGATGGACATCCACTGCTTCAGATGGTGTCAGTTGATTGCTTATAGATTCCAGGATTCCAGAGCTGAAATGATGGACGTCCACTGCTTCAGATGGTGCCAGTGAATTATATAAAACGTGAGAGGTGTCCAGTGAAGTGGTTGGCTGAGCACTTACAGTTGGAATGATTAAAAAATCCTCTTGCAGGACAGGCTCGCTGGAAAGTGGCCAGGTGGTGTCTGTGGGCGCCATGCTGTTTACCGACTCTAGAAACCGAATGTCGATTGTTTCAGGGATGATGCCTTCCTCCAAGGAAACATTTTGTGAAGAGACCACAGTTGCTTCTTCCAGGGCTGAGGCATTTTGGCTTACCTCTGAACTTTCGTTCAGTTTCATGAACAAGGGGCCAAAATGGACAACTAGAAGAAAAAATTAATAAAATTAGAATGAACATTTTATTTCAGGCACTAACACAAAATATTCATGAGATGCAGGACGCCATTTTCCTTTTACTTTCTATACCTCAACTCCACTAATTTACATTACATAGACAGCAATAAAAAAGCAATAAAAAAGGGGGGGGGGCTTAGTTATAGCTTAATGGGTTCATTTTTCTTTTCACAAAAAAAAAAGGAGAACTAACTCAACACTCTTCTCACCCCCATTCCCCAATACAGTTATGTATAATGATGGCCCTTGCCTCCCAGCCTGTATAACGGTCCTGGCACTTGAAACCTTCACAACAAGGACCTGGAGGCTGCACATAAACTTAACACTTGCAATGGGGAGCAGTGATTGGTCACATGACTGTACTGACCAATAAGAATCTTAGACCCTGTGCTGGGTGCCCAGGTTTGCACACCAGCTGTGCCCCTATGTAGGGTACCCACTATCCCTGTGCAGAGTTCCTGGGTCTTCATACCTGCTGTGCCCATTATGAGTGGGTTCCGCCATCCCTGTGTTGAGTTCCCAGGTCTACACAGCTGCTGCGCCCATCATGCGAGGTTCCCAGCATCTCTGTGCTAAGTTCATAGTTCTGCACACCTGCTGTGTCCATTATAAGGGGTTCCAATCATACCTGTGCTGAGCATCCAGGTCATTACACCTGCTGTGCCCTTTATAAGGGGTCCTCACCATTCCAACTGGATTTGTATTTCATATTATGGAGAGTTTAACAGGAGGAGCTGGAACACACAAAACTGCGGGAACACCTAAAACGTCCAGGTGTGCATGAACAGTGTCAGGAATTATGGGGGAGAGATCTTGCCTTCAAAGAATCCAAGGACTGACTTATAACTCAAATGTCTTGTGCGTGGTTTGACCACAGGGAGCAAGAGGCTATGACACATCAAATGAAGTTGAAGGGCATTTATAAATCAGAATAAAATTATGGAAATGGGCCTAGAGTTGGAATTTTTCCTCTCCTGATGAGCTGCATTTACAAAAATCCTTGAAGCGTATTGCTCTAACACTGCGGCGGTCATTTTGTCGGAGATGCTATATTCAGCACATCTATTTACCAAAAGCAGCAACCTAGAGGCTCAGACTTTGCATAATCAATTGCTTAAAATCTCCTAAAATGTGGCCTAGTGAACGAAATCGGTGGACTGCACTTGTGCGGATGTCCACTTTAGAAATCAGTGTACCGCGATAAACTAGAGCGCGAGGCATGCTCTTTTATCTGCTGGAAGACATTCTCCTTCTGTAAAAGAACAGGCAGTGACTGATGAGCATCTGAAGAGAAGAGCGGGGAAGGGGGTGTGTGTGCGCTCATTGAAATTCAGTCCGTGGTCTTGGAGTAATCGCATCGGCCTCTGGAGGCTTGGCTCTAATGCTTGAAACATGCCGCGCTGTACAGAGAGCAACGCCACACCTTGTGCGGAGGCAAGGTCGGCCCTCAGTCACCGAACAACGCTTATAATCCTCTAACATCCACACAATGCCAGCCACTTACAAAACCTGCACAGGCCGCAAACAGCCAAGTCAAGGTAGCAGGATTTTTTTCTGGCCTTTTTTTTCTACTAAAGCGTTTTGCTTTTAACACCATTTTATGAAGCTATTGGCTACAAAGCATCTAGTGGTCATCACAGATGGGTTTTTATAAATGTCACCCTCAATATATATCACCTGAACAAGCAGAAGGGCACAAGACGGGTAATAAGTGCTAATTGCAGTGTCCTTCCTTAAGATTAAAGGTCAGTAGGAAAGGCAGTTGGTTTGTAGAGGGCTACGCAAGATAAAATCCAGACAAAGGCCATTTTGTGCTTGGCGCGACTCTCCGGGATCGGAGTAGCCTGTCTATACAGCGTGTGCGGATTGGTTTACAGGCAGCGACAGGTGGCAGGTGAGAGGATTTCGCTCTGCAATCCAATTTCTCATTCTTCCAGGAGGACAAAGGCTCTCCATAATGAGGAGGAGGAGGAGGGGATGCACGTCTTTTGATGGGGCCCCGTGTGCTCAGGAGCCTAAAGTAATATCACCCCCTGAGACAATGGCTGCTGAAATGTTTCTGCAATGGTGGGGGGCGGGGGGTGGACGACCGGAGAATAATCCGACTCCTTGGAACCATAATTCAACCAATTCATCAACACCAATGTGAATTATATGGAGGTTCTACCCACCAGCCAAACTGCCGCTAGACCTGCGAGGGTTTTTGTTAGCGAGTGCACAGTCTGAACACCCCAAGTATGGATGCTCCAGAAGCTTCAAGTTTATGTGAATGAAGATGGGAGCCATGAGCAGGAGGCTGGTAGAGGCTTACAAGGGTGGCTCAATGACGACCAGGAAAGGTTTACCAAACGATCTGACCTGTTAACTCTGACCAGGGCCACTGATAGGGGGGTATAGGCCATAGACCGGTCAGTTGGGGGGCCCATTCTTAGCTTGTCACTGTGGGAAACGGTTCCCTGGACCAGGGGGACCCTGTCTGGTAGGCTGCACTGGCCCTGCCCCTGGCAACAGCCAGTGGGATTAGAGGCCTCCTATGGACCATCGCCAGGCACAGCTGAAAACCAAAATTCTTCAAAGCAAAGATGGGTCTCAATCATAAAAAAAAAATGATGAAGAATGATGGGAGAATGAAAGAGGCAACTGGTTGCCACGGACATGAAGGATAGACACTGTTATCAATGAGACCCAGTAATAAACATGTCTTCTGGATGAGTCAGGAACTTTCCTTCAGATTGTATGAATCATTCTGAATAGGGTCTCATGTAAAAAAAACTGGACAAAAAGAAAATCTGTGTAGCACAGGGCTGGACAAATCCCAGGAGCCGGGAATCCATTGCTATAGGAGAATGAAAAGGCCGCGTCTGTTGCTATGGGAGAATAAAAAGGCTGCGTCTGTTGCTATGGGAGAATAAAAAGGCGGCGTCTGTTACTATGGGAGAATAAAAAGGCAGCGTCTGTTGCTATGGGAGAATAAAAAGGCCGTGTCTATTGCTATGGGACAATGAAAAGGCCGTGTCTATTGCTATGGGACAATGAAAAGGCCGTGTCCATTGCTATGGGACAATGAAAAGGCCGTGTCCATTGCTATGGGACAATGAAAAGGCCGCATCCGTTGCTATGGGACAATGAAAAGGCCGCATCCGTTGCTATGGGACAATGAAAAGGCAGCGTCCGCTGCTATAGGACAATGAAAAGGCCGCGTCCGTAGCTATGGGACAATGAAAAGGCCGTGTCCGTTGCTATGGGACAATGAAAAGGCCCTGTCCGTTGCTATGGGACAATGAAAAGGCCGTGTCCGTTGCTATGGGACAATGAAAAGGCCATGTCCGTTGCTATGGGACAATGAAAAGGCCGCATCCGTTGCTATGGGACAATGAAAAGGCTGCATCCGTTGCTATGGGACAATGAAAAGGCAGCGTCCGCTGCTATAGGACAATGAAAAGGCCGCGTCCGTAGCTATGGGACAATGAAAAGGCCACTGGGTTGAAGACTCACTCAGCGATGACAAGGGGTGAAATACAAAGAACTGTGACATGATTATCTCATCGGCCATTATGAAAAGAGGCCTAAGAACTGGAGACATAGTTGAATCGCAATGTTTGGTTCTGAAGCTGGCAACGGCTGGGAAAAAAATTAATCCTGAAATGTTATTCCGGTTATTCTCCACTATGAGAAAACGTTTCAGGTCTGGCTCCTCAGAGATCTCCTAGCTATGAAACAGTTAATATGGAGATGAATGGTGAGGAGGGGGGGGTGGAATTTGAGGATGAGGAGGAGGAGGGGAGACGGATTCCTAATTCCATTCACAGACACTTGACTGCAGCGCAGCCACTCCTTACGCTGCACCTGTCAGCCATATTAACTCCCAGAATCCTCGGTGTCGCATCGTCTCCTCCATCGCCATTGTCAGTGCCAGATACTGAACCTTCTGCTTGTCCTTTAATTTCCTGTCTATGATTTCCTTGTTAACAGAAAAAAAGGCGATGTGTTTTCAGGACAAATTCCTGCTACATGGGAACAACACACAAGGCTACATCCACGCCGCAGCGTCTTTCATGTGTCACAGTTGTGCCGAGATTTTGATGCATTGCACATGTAGACTTGTACGTTACATTTTGCATTTCAATGCATGTAGACAGGTTAACTTTTGCTTTATACCAGGGATGGGCAACTCTGGCCCCCCAGCTGTTGTGGAACTACATGTCCCATGAGGCATTGCAGGACTCCGACAGCCACAGGAACAACTCCCAGAGGCATGTTCAGATTTGTAATTTGTAGTTGCCCACCCGTTTTATACGGTACTTGTTCACATCTGCTCAAAGTGCATTGGCCAAAAAAGTTAATAAATAATTTCCGGATCATCAGGGTGCGTTAAAGGGTTCATTGATGACAACGGCAGCGCATGAAAAGGCGCAGCGCCAGTGCGTGTTTATAACACGTGGGATAATGCATTAAAAAGAAAAGTTTATCGCTATAGAAAGAGCCAAAGTCAATCAGCCACAAGAGACATGGGGGCCCAGTTGATGTCTAAGGGGCCCAGCTACAACATTATTACTCCTGCAGTAACTGGTGCAAGCTGTATATCTGCCTGTCACTGCACAGGGCAGGGTGGACTTGCAGACAGTTGGTGTGTCATTGTACAGTCAACGCAGGTGGACGGCCTCCCATGCCTATTGCAATCTTCACCAATGTTGAAAAAATGAAGGTAAAATTGCTACCTTGCCTAGGACCCCAATTGGCGCTCTAAACCGCAATCTAAACCGCAATCCTGTGTAAAACGTTACCTCTGCGCAAGAGCTTCCTCAAGACCAGTCACTGCTGCTCTCTCTCCTTGTGCAAGGTGGCTGGTCTCGTCTCCACCCCCTTCTGTAAAAAAAGACCGCTCACTGCTGCCCTCTCTCATTGTGCAGGGAGACTGGTCCTGTCTCCGCCGCCTCCTGTAATAAAGACCAGTCACTGCTGCTCTCTC